GAGCTTGAAGGTTCAATTTGGAATTTCTAGAACTTAGACTCACGCTCGAGCGGGGAACTCCACGCTCGAGCGTACAACCTGTGTTCATGCAGTCCGCTCGAGCTGGGAAAGTGACGCTCGAGCGGGAAATGCGTGTATCCAGTACTTTGCATGTGTTTACAGTCCGCTCAAGCGGAAGAATGCACGCTCGAGCAAGGACTTATGTCTCATGGTCGAGCGGAGGTCGAGCGCCCATCGAGCGTGAATTTCACCTATCCAATACTTTTGCAGTCCGCTCGAGCGGAGTAAGTCACGCTCGAGCGGGACCCTGTTTCAACAAAATTTTGAAAATTGTTTTTAAATGCATCTTTGCATCCTCATTCTATCCTAGGTATTCTTAGGCCTAGTTTAAGGCATCTTAATGAGGATATTGATGTAGAACCACACCGAGGCAAATTAGGAATTAAGTTATTATTTTCCCAACTGTGTAGCTTAGTGTGTGTTCGTTCTGTAACTGTGTAGAGTTGGCATTCGAGGACGCTCTAGCTGCTTATAGCCTAGTGCTCAGTGAGTAACAATGTTGTAAATATATGTTCAATCATGAATATTTTCTGAATGATCAATTGTACTGCTTTCTGAAATGATATTTCTTACTGAATCAATGCTTGTCCTATTTGCGAACTGTATTCGTGGCATCCATAGCAATTTACTGTTACTGTACTATACTGCTACTGTCACAGAGATCTCTGTGGGTTCCCATGTTTGAAACCGCTACTGTTTACTGATATGATGGCCATCAACTAACTGTTCGGTCTGTTTAGACCTATTGTACTGTTTTGCTATTGGATGTACCACTTATGACTGTTATGATCGAATGACTGATATACTGTTCAAATGACTGTTTTAAATACTGAAACGACATTCATTCCTAACCTCTTTACGCATATGTTATTCACTGGGCTTTAGCTTACTGTTTATATAAATATGTAGGTGTCCAGGCACCGGATCGAAGCTAGGAGCGTTGGGTTAAACTCCCTTTTTGTCAAGCCAACTAACGAGCCTCACCGCGAGGTTCCAAGTGCTGCCAAGCTAAGGCTGCTTGGGGGTGTTTTAGATTCCCCCTTTCTGTTTCTGTTTTGTATAGACTTGTACTGTACTATTATGGTGGGGACTTGGCCCCCAACCTGAATGATTGTATATGATGTATGTGCATACCGTCTTTTGTTTCTGAATGTGTATATGTATGAAAAGTCTTTTTGCATACAGACTGTCACAGCTCATTGAACATCTTTTATTACTGTTTTGGCTTCTGCCAACCCCTGTACTATGTATTACTGTCTTTACTGTTAAGCAGGCCTTTGGTAATCACGGATTACTGGCCGGTTACGGTGCTAAACCCATAGGGGCAGGTTTGGGTCATGACAAAATGTAATTCAAATATATAGTTTTTTTTTAATCCATATCCAATCATCTTAATTTTTCACATTACTATTCTACCTAATAAGTTTAAAAAGTAAACTATTTGAATCATTAAGGCCAGTCCCAAAAATGGACCCGACAAGCCTAAACATTCTCTCAAGTTAGATGGCCAACTTAAAAAAAAAACAAAATCTAAAGCCCTTTCAAAAGTTATAATAAAACACAAATCACGAAACCATCATGTTTCATTAACAAAACTTTTGTCAACGAATAGTTTTGTTGTTGCTAAATGTTTAACTCTTTGCCCACACTAACTTGTTGTCGCCAAAAGTAAACAGACTAATAGGAATGCTTATCTTGTTGCCAAAAAATAGCCCTCATCACTAAAAGTTTCAAAAATTTGGCGCCAATGAATAATTTTGGCACCTAATAAATGTTATGCTTTTTTTAGCGACGGTAGTAAATTGCGTCGTTAAAGGTCTGCTTTTACCGACGAAATTGATCACTGTGTCACCAAAAATAAGCTTTTAGCTATGAAAAATTGATGTCATCGCTAAAAATAATCGCCAAAAGTACAACTTCTCGTAGTGGTACTCTTTCCTTCCGGGTTCCCTTTTCCCTTGCATCATCTCATTTCATAAACTTTAAAAGCCTTATAATTTGGTCTGGAAATATTCAACTTTATTATCCATTAAAACAATTTATGTGACAGCTTATAAATATCTTGATGCATGTCTTTGTAACAACCAAGAAAAAACCAACATTTAACCCAGACACGGCCCAAATAATACAGGCTAGTGCAAGTCATGATGATAACCAAGGGTGGTGGCCCAGTGGTGAAGGCATTGCCTTCCCACAGCCATGAGTCAAGTTCAACTCATGGGGAGCGTGAAAATCCTGGATTTTCCAGGGGCTCTCTGCGGAGACCTCGCGCTGTACTCCGATCGAAACTTATCCATAGCCGGGGCGGTTGATGAGCTCCACTGGTGCCTTGCTGGTAGGCCCTTTCCTATGGATTGGGTTAAATCAGGCTGGCACCCGGCTACCCTGGGGCTTGGGCCTACGAAGGTCGTGATGCCCCCACAGAACCTCCTTTTTTATGATAAAAAAAAAAAAACATAAGCCCAAATAACCTTTTTAGTGAAAATATTTGGGTGAGGCCCAATTGATTGTTGGATAAAATACATTATAATTAGAACAGCAATTCATAAACCCAAATTACTCATGGATAGCCCATAGGCTTGTGAGGTTTCCTTTTAAACCAAAAAGTCACTCTTTGTGTGTTCAAGCGAGACATTAAACCTAGACCAACCCATCACAAATATGGATTTCCCAAAAACCACAAATGTTTGATAATCTAATTTAGTATTTAAAATTAAATGTATTAAATAATAATTAATTAAATTTGTATAATAATCACAATCATAAACCCAAATTACTCATGGATGGCCCATAGGCTTGTGAGGTTCCCTTTTAAACCAAAAAGTCACTCTTTGTGTTCAAGCGAGGGACATTAAACCTAGACCAACCCATCACAAATATGGATTTCCCAAAAACCACAAATGTTTGATAATCTAATTTAGTATTTAAAATTAAATGTATTAAATAATAATTAATTAAATTTGTATAATAATCACAATTGATATTACTTAAATACTTCTTAAAATGTAGGTTAAAAGTTCAAAAATTATAAAGTGATATGAAACTTGATTCAAACTCAATTTATAAATACTAAACATAAGTATTGACATACACTATTATAAAGTCATTATCATTGTCGCCACTATTACCATCCACTGCTACAACCACTGCCATCGCCGCCGCCACCACCACCACTACAATTATCACATTCATCACCATTTTTATTGTTGCCACAAGTATCACCAACATTTCACTATCGCCACTACACCACCATCACTACCACCACCGCCACTACCATCACTACCATGCCACTGCCACTATAACTACTACTATCACCACCTTCATTATCATTATCATTGTTTCCATAAGAACTACCATCATTTCATTATTTCCACTGCACTACCACCACAGTCGCCACTACCATTACCACTATCATAACCCATTATAACCATTTACATCCACAACCACTGCCACTGTTGTTATAACTACCACTATCATTTCAATACCACTGTCACCCTCCTCATTCTCTTTCTTCTTCTTCTTCTTCTTTTTTTTCCCCCCACAATATATAATACTATTCCATCATCACTACAATTATTATCCCTTAATTTTCACCATTATTGTCCTTGGTGCCATTACTAACGTCGCCATTGCCTTCTCCACCACTACTAACTCACCATCACAATATAAAAATTATAAGATATACAATTTGAAAATAAAAAATTTCAAATTTAATCTTATACATACCAAATAATTTATTTTAGTTCAACACTTAATTTTTTTATTAAACAACTTCTCAACTTAAAAATTCAACATTCAATTTTATGTACTTAATTTTCAATTTTATCAAATATTACCTAAGGGGGTATGTAATAGCCTCATTCAACACGTAAAATTGAATTTATTAAATGATAATCAATTAAGCTAGTTTGATAACCATAATTGATATAACTTAAAAATTTAAGTGTCCTTAAAATATAGATTAAAAGTTAAGGAAATTTTAAATCATACGAAACTTACATAATTCGGATTGAATTTATAAATAGTAAACATAAGCGTCAATATGTACTATTATAAACTCATTGGATTTGGAGTGATTGATGTGTTGGGAGGCACAACAGTCACTGATGTGTAGTTCTATAAGCTCATTTCGAGACCCATTTTGATAATCGAAAAAGTTCACACTTGAGATTATATAGAGTAGAATATACCTGTAAAAAATTAACTTAATCGAATATCGTTAACTCTTTCATCTACTCACATTTTGCGACAGTAAAAAAATTCGTTGCCAAAGTTTTATTTTTAGAGACGAATAACTCAAAATTGTCACAAAAAGAATATTATACGTAATGGTATGTTACCCCGTCGTAAAAAAGCCTTTTATCTTGCTTTTTTTTTTTAATTTTAATTTAAATTTTAATTTTTTTTGCCACAATCTTTGTTAGTCCATTGCAAAAGATTTTATTTTTGTGTATTTTTTCTCATTTGTGATGGTCATTATGTAAATTTCAAAGTGAGACATGATTAAAACCTAATTTAAAAAACTATTGTGGGTAAAAGTGTAAAATGTATAAACCTTTATAAAACATATGAGCATGACAACAAGTTAAGGCTGTTTGTTTTCGGAAATAAAATGGAGGGAATTCATAGCGAGGGAATTGGTAGTGAGGGGATTAAGTAAAATTGTGCTTGTTTTTTATGATAGTTGTTAGTGTAGGAATTGTTAAATTATTTTTATATAAAATAATAAAACAAATAAAAAAAATATAAAAAATTAAACATTAACATTTTTAAAAAAATTCTTAATATATAAAAAATAATTTTTTTTAATCCCCTCATTATTTTTCTAATGCCATCTCTATCTTCTCCTTCCCAATCCCCTTCCAAGACTTCTACTAATACCAAGAAACAACAATGCTACAGACCCCCAGTATGGACGACCCCCACCGACCCCCAGTCCCTTAGAATGAAAATTAAGTTGAGAGTTTTATGTTATACATTTTTCTGATGATATTTATAGTTCTTGCCTCTGTTTTGTTGCTGAGAAAATGCTGGAAAATAAATTTTGTTTCATGCTTTACGTTTTTGTTAGTTCTTGAGAATGAAAATCAGCTCAAGTTAGACTAAAATTTGAGTTTTATGCCCTAGGTTGGTCTGATCATATGTTTTGATTTTGCATTTTTCTGATGATATTTATAGTGTTTGCCTCTGTTTTGTTGCTGCGAAATGCCAGAAAAGAAATTCTGTTTCATGCTTTACATTTGTTTTAGTTCTTAAGAATGAAAATCAGCTCAAGTTAGAGCAAAATTTGAGTTTTATGCCCCAGGTTGGTCTGATCATATGTTTTGATTTTGCCCGTCTGGTTGCTTAGAAAATGCTGGAAATGGGAAGAAAAGGACATCAAATCTTATGCTTTAGACTTGTTTTGGTTAGAAATTTCTACTTAATAGAGCCAAAAATAATTGCATCTTCACGTCAAATTGTAAATTTTGTTAACTTTGATGTTAATAGGCTAAATTTTGTTTCAAAATTTCTGCTGCAAGAATGTTTTTCTATTTGTGATGCACCATTTGGTTGCTGAGAGAATTGTAGGAGAACATAAAATTTTTAAAGCTTTAGGTTTGTGTGTTTCATGTTTCACAGTCACTGAAATGTTAAAAAATATTGTTTGCTATTGAACTTAAGCGATGTGCCTGGCTTTGCTGATTTTTTTATTTCATTTGCTTGGGCAATACTTCTTCTTTGTGTGTTCATGTGAGACGGTTGGGAGTTTTTTTCTACCAGTTGTTAGTTGGCTCTTTTATTTTGCTTGGATGTGAGTTGGTGGCATTTCTTTTGAAGGGCAGATCTCTCTTTTCTTCTTTGTAATATTTTATTAGTTATGCAACTTTTTTGCTGAGCCAAAAAAAAAAAAAAAGGTTTATGCAAAGTTTCTTTTTTGTTTGGTTTGCTGACCTTTCCTGGGGCCAGCTAAGTATTTTTACATCAGTGTACATGTCACATATGTTAAACATAGGATGTGCATCAGAAGTATGGAGCTATTGGTAAGCTGTTGCTTCTTTATTTTTCTATTATTTGCTAGGCAGTAAATGACCTAAGATTTAGTGCAAGCCCAACCATCACATTACCACATTACCACTTGAGCCAAAGGCCAGGAACCCTTCCATTTCTATTTGATTCCTTATGCCATAAAAATGGGGTTTATTTTTTTAGATTCAATGAGAAAACTGTGAGTTTTAACCTGAATAATTTGGTGTTACTGAACATATGGTTTGCAAGATATCATGCAACAGCAATCTGCAATTCAGGCTGTGGAAGCTGAGAAGATTCCCTTAGTAGGTGATACGGTAAGATCAAACCATGAATTATAATACTCAATCTCTATATAAATTGATTTGCCTATTTCTAATAGTGTTGTCAAAATTTAGCTACTTTTTGGTTATGGATATTTTAAAGAATTCCACTATGAGCAATCCCACGAATTATAAAGTTTAATGTGTTTTGATAATAAGTTTTTGAATTTTACCAAGAGCAACCCATGCATGTTAGATCTCAAGCACTATTAAACTTCTTGCATATTTTTGATTGTGTTGTCAAGTTTAGCTACTTTTTAGTAACTCAGTGTGTTTGGTTTGAATTTTCTGAATTAAGTTTTTTGAAAATTGAGTTTTTTTATTTTCGTATTTTTTTGTTTTTTTGAAAATTGAGTTTTTTGATTTTCGTATTTTTTGATTTGTCCAAATGCAATAGACACCTGTGTCCATGGAGCATATTTGTCGAATCATCATAGGTACAATGGTGTCTGGGATTAAGGGCTCTATTCCTACCCCTTTCAATAAAAAAAAAATGTATTAGAAAATAGATTTAATTTTTTTTCCCTTCATCAACAAAGAGAATATTATTAATAAAAAGGAAAAAGAGTAGAAAGAGGGGAAATCGATTCCCGGTTTTGAATGTAAAGTCTAATTTTTGTTTGTAAAAACTTATTTTTAAGAAACTCTTTTTCCGAACCGGTTGACACACTAAAATGGTCAAACGGCGTCGGATGCCATCAAAACTTGACACACATGACAAACTAGGCACAAATGACTTGTAGGAAAAGATGGGACTTGAAACCGATTCCTGGTTTTGAATCTAGAGTTTAATTTTCATTTGTGGAAACTTGTTCTTAATAAACTTTTTTTTTGAATCGGTTGACATACTAAAATGCTCAAACGACATCAGATGTCAATGAAACTTGACATACACGACTAACTAGGCACAAATGACTTGTAAGAAAAGATGGGAATCGGCTTTTTTTTTTAACCAGTTAACACAGTAAAATGCTCAAACGATGTCAGATGTTAACAAAACTTGATACACACGACTAACTAGGCATAAATGACTTGTAAGAAAAGACGAGACTTGAAACTGATTCTCGATTTTGAATATGGAGCCTAACTTTTGTTTGTGAAAACTTGTACTTAAGAAACTCTTTTTCCAAGCTGGTTGACATAATAAAATGTTCAAACAGCGTCGAATGTCAATGAAACTTGACACACATGACTAACTAGGAATAAATGACTTGTAGGAAAAGACAAGGGTCGAAACCGAATGCTCGTTTAGAAACACCATCCTCAGATCTAAGAATAGTTGGAGAAGCTGTTAGAAGATATATTGTGCGGCACTTGATTCATGTATATGTTACAATCTTGTTATTTTATTTTATTTATTTTTTAAATAAATATCGAATGTTTTACATTTTTTTGTTTCTTTTTGCAAATGCTACATTTTGAGTACGTGATGATATATTCGCATATCGATGTTGGAGCTTACTGATGATACTAAAACAAGTTGCAATATATATGTTTTTTTATTTGTGCTGTCGATACTTTTGTTTTGTTTTAGATATTAAGGTCAAGTTTGGCAACTCCAATATAATCCATCTTTTTATCTCTTTTCCATCACATCACCTCTCTACTTTTCTGCACATCTTTTCGTAAAAAGACAAAAAATACACTTATTTAGGTCATCCCAAACAACTCCTAATTTGAGCTCTTCAATTATAAAAAATTATCAATATTGTTTTTTAATAAATAATAAATTTTATTAAGAAAATATCAAGAAGATGCAACAAAACCAAGACAGTCAAAAGGAAAAAAACAAAACTCACCTAACCAATTACATCATCCGTAAAATCTAAGAAAGAAAATATATCCGGATCCACTTTACATTCCAATCAACTATACAAAGTAACTGAGAATCGATCCTCCAACCACGACACCGAACGCTCAAGTTCTTGGAAGATTCTCCTGTTTCTTTCCAGCCAGACCAACCACATTAAACAAAAAGGCACCAACGACCACACCCGTTGCCGATGCCTCCCGACTCGGGCCCCCCTCCAACTCCACAATATGTCCATAACCCTCTTTGGCTGCACCCATGTAAATCCAAAAAGAGAACAAGCCAGCCCCTAAAGTCGAGAAGCAAGAGAACAATGGAGAAATAAGTGGTCAACGGTCCCCACATCTACATAGCACATACAACATTGATTCACTGACACATTTCCTCGACAAACCAGATCATCAATAGTAAGATTGTGGCCCAAAGCAATCGTCCATAAAAAGAAAACCACCTTAGAAGGAACTCAAGGCACCCAAATACTCCGCCAAGGAAACATACCTCCCACCTCCCCCACCAAACACCGATAAAGGACCGAACAGAGAACTGACCTTTAGCACCCACCACATTCCAAACCAACACATCTTCCTCCCTACCTAAAAGGCACAACCCATATAGAAAGGCGAATAACTCCCCTAACTGATTCACTTCCTAATCCTGAACCTCACGCCGAAGCTGGATGTCTCAAACCACCACCTCTCCTACCCTCAAATAAGAAGCAACCGTGGCCTCCCGATCCCTAACAATGCTAAAAATTAAAGGGAATTGCACCGCTAAAGCCATCGCTCCACACCATCTATCTTGCCAGAATCTAACCTTCTCCCCAGTACCCACACGAAAAGCCATCCTCTCATAAAACTCCCCATTTCCCAAGAAAATTCCTTTCCACAAGCCCCGCCTATGTGATCCCATCACTTCCCCCGACCGCCAATCCCCCTCAGCAACACCAAATTTAGAAGCCACCACCCTTTGCCATAAACAATCCCGCTCCCTAGCAAACCTTCCACAATAACTTCCCTAAGCCCTATTAAACTGCACCAAACGCCGCACCCCCAAAACCACCCACCTCCTTTGGCTGACAAATCCGCTCTTAATCCACCAAGTGATATCTGAAATTCTCTCCACCACCCCATCACAAAAATCCCTTTGAAGTTTCTCTAGCCGCTCAGCCACAGTAACGTGAATAACATGTGAAGACATAAAGTAAGTCGGAATACTACTCAACACACTTTTGATAAGCGTCAACCTTCCGCCCTTCGACAAATATTGCGGGGTGTCTTGCAGGGTGTGGTGTCTGAGTCCCAATATGCTTTTGTAGGGGCGGCGCCAGATTCTGGACGTTGTTTTGGGGGCTAATGAGTGTATTGATTCTCGTATTCGGGAAGAGCGACCTGGTTTGTTATGTAAGCTGGATATTGAGAAGGGTTATGATAATCTAAATTGGGATAAATTGGGATTTCTTGCTTTATATTATGGGTCGGATGGGTTTTGGGACAACATGGTGTCAGTGGATGAAGTTCTATGTCTCCACGGTGTGGATGCCTGTTTTGGTGAATGGTTCACCGGCAGGTTTCTTTCAGACTTTTCGGGGTCTTCGGCAGGGGGATCCATTATCCCCCTTGTTGTTTATTCTAGTTATGGAGGCTTTTAGTCAACTGTTGTCTAGGGCTGTGCATGAAGGTTGAAGGATGTTTTATATATTTTTGTACAGAATGTTTAGTTGACACTATTGTTACAAGGTACATATATATTATTATTCGTATATATTATTTTGCGAATGTGAGTGTGGATGTGTGCGGATGTGGATGTATTTTAGTTTAGAAAATATTAATAATTTGTACGGGAAATAAATTAATAAAGTATATATTTATTCGGAAATGCTACAGACCCCCACCATTTTGGCACCCCCAGCACCCCCAGTGCCACATGGGGGGCTGCCAATGGCCAAACACAAAGAAAAAAAAAAAAAAAAACCAGACTTTTCGGGGTCTTCGGCAGGGGGATCCATTATCCCCCTTGTTGTTTATTCTAGTTATGGAGGCTTTTAGTCAACTGTTGTCTAGGGCTGTGCATGAAGGTTGAAGGATGTTTTATATATTTTTGTACAGAATGTTTAGTTGACACTATTGTTAGAAGGTACATATATATTATTATTCATATATATTATTTTGCGAATGTGAGTGTGGATGTGTGCGGATGTAGATGTATTTTATTTTAGAAATATTAATAATTTGTACGGGAAATGAATTAATAAAATATATATTTATTTTATGAAAATAATTATTTTGCGACAGCAATAAACTGTCACTAATGTAATCATCATTGCCTTGCATTTATTAGCGACGAATTAACTGGTTACATATACATATTAGTGCTATCTTTAGTGACGGTTTAAACTGTTGCAAATACATTATTGATTTAATTATGTTTTTTTGCGACGTTTATGGCCATCACTATTAATACTTTTCACAACGTCAACTACTGTCTCTAAAAACGTTTTTGGTGACGGCATCCTAAATCGTCGTTAAAAGTGATATTTTTTCTGCTTTTTTGTGTCATGTTAAATTGTTGCAAAAATCAATAATTTATCGTCGCTACAAGAAAGCGATAGTTACAAACTGTCGCAAATACCTTTTGTCACGCTCCTTTCCACCACCCCTTATTTATCGTCACTATTCCGTTGTAAAAAAAAAAATTGCAACGACATATGAACTTTTTGTCACGTTTGACATTGTTGTAAAAGGTCCGATTTTTAGTAGCGGAAAAAGGGGATGTGCCCCTTCCTATGGGGCATCTTGAAATTGTTTAGTGGCCAAGCATGCAGGCCTGGGACAACGAGAGTGAACCATGGAAATTTAATAAAAAATAATAAAAATAAATTATTTTACTCAAATTAAATTTCTATAGTGCCTATATAATGAATGAGCACTATTTCCCCACCTTTTCTTCATCGCACAAATGGTTGAGAAAGAAGAGAGGGAGGAAGAAAAAAAAGAAAAGAATGTGTGGAGAGAAAGGAGGAAGAAAAAAGAGGAAATATGTCTCGACCCTTGGCAAGTTTTTTGGCTCCTTGAGGTAGAATCATTTATCTTTACTCATCCTTAGTAGTTATATTTTCTAATTTATATGTTTTAAATTAGTTAATGTGTTGAAAGTATGAGAACAATGGGCTGAAATGAGAGAAAGGGCAAAAGTCAATTTACCTGCTTATGGTTTAGGTTCGTAGTACTTTACTCCCTTATCATTCAAATATAGACAGATAATCCCTTTGTAATTTTGGACTCAAATGCAATACTAACTCCGTTAATATAAAATATAAAATGATGCAAATACCCATGTGTTTTCCTTTCTCTCTCCTCTGGGAAAAAAAAAATAATATGAAAAAAATGAAAGCAGCTTGCACATTGCCAAGATTCTTCTTGCATCTGGCAAGAGCAAATCTTCAAATAGATAACTTATTGATTGATTATTTACACACACTATTGTTACATCTACTGAATTTGTGCTCACTGAAATTGCCCGAATTTGTGCATATTGATTGCCCGCTTGGTCATTCGAGCGATCGCCCGCTCGGTCATTCGAGCGATCATCTGGATGGTCATCTGAGTGGATGCCGATTGAGAAAATAGTAGATAAGGGTGACAATCGCGGTTAACAAAGGTGACAACCGCGATTGACAAGGTATGACCAGTCATTCAGGCAATCGTCCAGTTTCTATAATTTGGTCAATTTGGGTGAACTCAAATTCAATGGATCAATCATTTTTCTTACACAAACCATTTTCTTTCTAGCAGAAGAGAAACCCACAAATCCCACATCAACTCTTAACTCAAAAATGCAACTAAAGTTCCATTTCACTAGCATCCAGTGAAAACTCGAAAAAAAATTGTATTTTCTAGGTAGAAATTTGCATATTCAAATGGAGAATTCTTCCTCAAAAATGGAAACAACCTAAAGGAAAATGAACCCAATTGAGAATTCCTCATCTTGATACTGAAATCGGTTGGTGATTTCAGAGATTTAGTCGGGCAAAGCAGAACATAGGGGGTAGGGGATGGATTTGAATTTTTCATTGTCTAAACAAACCATTGATGTGGATCTTGTATATTAGTCTTGTACAAATTCAATGTCAAAGAAGCCATTTGAAGAAAAATCACTGAACAACGTGGGAGAGCTGAAAATCAATGAAATGGGTCGTCCATCAATGATGGTAAAGAGGCACCTCAACCCACCATTTGAGCTTGCTTACTGGTACAGGTTTTCGGTTGCAATTAGTTTACAATTGGTATATTTCCCAAAAGTTGTTATCCCTTTGTGAGTTATAATTTTTTTTTTTTTAAAAAAAAGCACAAATATCTCAAACACACTGATATATATATATATAAAATAATATACACGAAGAAAAAAATAAACAAGAACTAAATGGTTGAGTGGGTGGTAAGTAGGGGAGGGGAGATGATTGGTTGTGGCTGGTATGAAGGGTGTTGAGTAGAGTTTAAGGGTTTCCACACGTTTGGCGAAGAAGATGAAGTCAAAGGATAGTAATGTAATTTTCTATTGAAATTTGACTCTTGACTTCATTTTTTTTTCGGGAAATTTTATTTCCACGCATTTATTTATCTCAGTACACATATGAATTTGATTAAGTAATATTTGCTTCATTCTATACACTACATATTCCAATTATAACCCAAAATTCAAATATTCAATTTGGAGTTTCCAATACCCAAATGGGTTCAATAGTGCCATGGCTTATCTTTCTGTTGATGCATTTTGTTGTTCTTATCTGCTCTATTCGTGTTGGGAATGAGACTGACCGGCTAGCCTTGCTCGCATTCAAGTTTTGAAATAACCAGTGATCCATTCGGTGCTCTCAATTCATGGAATGAATCAATCCACTTTTGTCAATGGTTTGGCGTAACATGTGGCTGCTCCAACAAGTGGGTCATTGTGTTGAACTTGGATCATCGAAAATTAATAGGCTCCATTTTGCCTCACATTGGAAATCTAAGCTTTCTAAACGATCTATCATTGAGTAACAGTAGTCTTAGTCACAAAATTTCCCTAGAACTCAGCTGTTTGCCAAGGTTGCAAAGTTGTTGGGCTTTCCTGTAAAGCAAACCTTGCAGATGAGATGGGTTGGCTAGAGTTTTAATATCCATTATGGTCATTTTTAATTGAGGATATAATTGTTATTAAAATAAAATTTCATTAAGTATGTATACTGACATAAGTAGGTGTCTGGAAATAAAATTTTTTATTTTTTTCTTGCCAACTCTCTAAACACATGCGTGTGGTACATTTTCTGTCAATTTTGATAAAAAAATGTAATAGTTGCACTTCAATCCGAAATCACATAAACGATAGAGGGTAAACTGTTCCGAGCCTAAATCTCTGGAGGGTTAAATTGAATTTTGTCCATGAAATAATCATTTGCATGTACATCCATACAGGGATAGACACATGATTTTTATATAGGGAGGTGAAAATATATATACTAACAAAAATTTTAAATAAAAAATATAGATTGTAATATCAATTTTCTACCAACATATAAAAAGTGAAAATAAGATGAAAACATATATTAGTAACCATTTTGTTTTTTTTATCCACGTTGGAAAATATAGCAATTATAAAAAAACAATCTATTTACTAAAATGTGACATCTTGAGTTATGCTTGATATTCTTTCATGTTATTAAAAGCATCTATAATAGTATCAACTTCAAAATCTTGCATAATGTTTTTTCTCAATGAATATGATCAAATAACTAGCTAATACCTTGTTTTACTATTTGGAAATAAGGCTTGTTATCAATGGTAGTTATTAAAAAAATTATTAATATTTTGTCTAGTTTTATGCTTTGATCCACTATTTTATAGATATAGAGGAGCAATTACTTAAATTTTTTTAAAAAAAGTAAGAGAACAACTACTTAAAATTTATAAAAATAAAAATAAAAAAATAAAAAATACTTTAGATGGGGCGAACCTCTATAATTTGAAAATAATTATAATTAATACTACTATAATAATAGAGATTTTTCAAATCGTTGAAGGAGCTATCAACCCCTTCCTGCCTCCTCTAGCTTCATCCTCGTATCTATATAAATGAGCTGGCATAGCACCTTTAACCTCATTTCTTCTTTGCATGCATTCATATGTTGGTTTAGATTCTGATTTGGCTTTAATATATGCTTGTTTAGATCTCTTCATCCTTGAATCACTTTGCATGTCGGTGCAAATAAGGGTTGGTGGCTCTCTTTTCTTGAATAATTAACTTCTAACACTGTATCTGACTTTCATCAACTTATAAACACTTCAATAAATTCTGGAAAGCTTTTTTTTTTAGATCTGAAGATACTAAAGCTTGTTTACTATGCATATTACATGTATAAATTTTTATAAAATCATTGGATGATAGTCTACACCCAAAATAATTATTTTCTAGCCTATTTTCTTAGAAAAAAATATTTTTAAACTAGTATATATTTTGGTTTACTATTCATTATCATGCTTCAATCGCCAACTAGTATATATTTTGGATACTTATGTTATCAATGTTTGACTGGGGTTGAATTGGGTGGTACGGGCATGCGTGAGATTTGAAAACAAATATTGGAAGTGGCTACAATGGGCAAATGGTTTAGGGTGTGTAACACCCTGACTTCTATTACCCGAATCTATTATCAAATCATTTGTATTAATACCACTTTCAATAATACCTTCTATTTAGGGATATGAACAATGAATAAATAATAACATTCTCTCATAACAATGATGATGATATATAAATAAATTATGGTACAATATCTTTAGGCT